ACTCGAGATTGAAAGGAGACTTGGAACGAGAGAGTCTTCGAGACGAAGGAGTCGAAGGAGTCGATTCGGGATCGTAACGGTCGCCGGTTACATCGATAGAGAGGAGGCGATTCTCGTCGACGACGAGTGTCCCGTGTGTCGGTTCGAAGCTGCGGAAGACTCAGCTGCTTTCAAATCTGTCGCTCCAAGTTCCAAGTTCGGGAAAATCGTACACGTTTGTTGGATTAAAACGCGCGGTGTCGTGGCTCATCTCGTCTCGGCTCAAGACGTCTCTCCACATGCCGTAGTCTGACACGTAGGTGTCTTTTCTACCCCGTGTCCCCTTCCACTTCTCTGTCACAAGTTCCTTTCTCTCTCGTTATTGCGCGTTATATACACCTCTCCTTTCTGCTTCGCCTTGCTTCGTCGTGCTCTGCCGCGGCGGAATGTCGCGTGTGTGCGAACTTGACGTCTGTCCCTCGAACGGCGCGTCGTCGCGCGTTCCACCGACCACCGGAGGGAGATGGCTCCGAAAAGCTCGGAAAACGCGGCCGAATCGTTACGGATCGCGATCGGATCCGCGGTTCGACCGTTCCCGAACCGTCGGGCAGATATCGTCCGCCTATCGTTCCCTCGTGTCCGCCGTCGTGCTTGCCTCGCGAAAATCAACCGGCAATGGTCGGGGTAGAACTGTCGCGCCCGAGCCGCAGCAGCCCGCAACACACGACCCGACCGATTCTCTCTTCTCCTTCCCAACCACCACCTCTCGTAAACCCCTTGCAAACCCCTCTCTCTCTCTCTCTCTCTCTCTCTCTCTTCTCTTCCACCCCCTTCCGGCCCTTTCTCTCCTCTCAACCCCTCCCCGATCCCTCGCTCCCTCGCCTCCGTTCCCCGTTCGTCGTCTTGTTTCTCTTCCACGCTTTCCAATACCATCCACTACCCTCTTCGCGTCGTCACCCTCGCTCTATGCACTCGCTTTTCTCCTCGCCTCCTGCCGCATCGCCCTGCCACGTTTTACCTCGGCTCTCCTCCTTTCCACCGATCATTGCCATTCCCTTCTTCTCCCCCTTCCCCTCCCCCCTGCAACCCCCGCTCTGTTCTGTCCTCTTTCCCTTCCTGTACACGGTTACACATGTACACACGCTCGCGGGGTTGCGCGAGCGATCGACAAACACACACACACACACACACACACACAGAGGGACGGAATCTCTTCCGTATCCGGCAACGGCCCATCCCTACGTGCTTCCTTCGGCTGTTCCAGCCTCATTGCAGCTGCCATCCGATCTTCATCTCCTTCATCTCGGACTCCTCTCGTCTTCCGCTGGCGGAGAGAGAGAGACTCGTTTTTGATAAATCACCGAGAAGACACGGAGAATCGTGGAAGCAACGACTCGTCTCTTGCCTTGCGAACGACGAAAGATCTCCGCTCGTCTCGTCACTGGAGAGGAGAGAAGTAAATCGGAGTAAACGAAGAATGGAAAGAGACAAGCGTGCCGACGTTAATTATCTAACTTGACCCGCGAGTTTCGCCTAAAAATGGGCGAGGCATTGCCCTTTCCTGAACTTTCAGCTTTGCCTTTGGGATGAGGTGTATCCCAGCCAACCGAATCCTGAAAGGAGAAGAGAGTGACCCGTTTTTCATCTCGCTCCTCCGATCCGGATCGTTCGCGTTGCGCGCGATTCTCCCTCTTCGTTTTCCACACGATCGTCGCCGAACCGTTCCGAAATTTCACGAGAACCACCGTTGGCCGTTCACGGGGGT